GTCACAGTGACACAGGGCCCTGGGCCAAGGAGTGTGAGCACCTCTGCAAGCTGGGAAAGGTAGGAAGATGAATCCCTCCCTAGAGCCTCGGTGTGGAATGTAGCCTTGGACACACGTTGGTTTTAGCCCACTGACATTGAATTTGCACTTCTGCACCCTAGAACAGTGTGACAATGAATGTGTGTTGCTTTAAGCCACTAAGTCTGTGGTCCTTTGTTACAACAGCGATAGGAAAGGAACTCAGGAACCAACATGAACATGAACCACAGGCTGCCTGCTGTGCTGGCAGGAAGTCCTTTATCTCTGATTCTTGGGGGTCTCCTGTCTTCTGGCAGCATCCACAAACTACCTCATGCTAACTTGGCAGCTTGCAGGGGGTCAAATCTTAACCCTGCACAGTTCTTGATATATAGTTAATAAAAAGGATGGTGTCATCATGGGTATTTTTCCATCTTTTCAATACCCTTCGGTCTTCTAATAAAGCTACTTCTAATTGAGAGACCGTGTAAATAGTTTTCAATCTTAATAATAAATAACTGTGGTTTTATTTGGTTACTTAAATTATGAATCATAATATTCACATTTGTAAAAGTTATTAAAATCAACATTCTTTAATGAAAATATTAAGTTTCTTTTTGCATGAACATGTATTAACTACAAGAAATGTTCTATGCTTTGTTCTACGATTTAGTGTTTGAGTCTTAAAGAATAATATTTTCCTCAAAAGATATTATGGCGAAGGGATTTCTTTTGGTGGTACAGTTCCTACATCAAATCTGGTGCATGGCTCAGGCCACTGGGAACCTAGAGATGATAGAAATTAGGAGGCATTATAAACACAGAACCATTTTTAAAGGAATTAAAAAACTGGATGTGTGAAAACAAAGAATCAGAAAATATTCTGGTGAAATAAAAGTATTTTTCAGCTTAAGCAAGACACGGGTTGAATAAATCTAAAATGAAAAAAAAAAAACACCCAGAGATTAGCAGTGAGTCATGTATGCAGTGTGACTGATCAAAACCAAGTTGTTTCCAAACCAGTGTGCAGGCTTGATGTCTTCATGAATCAAGTCTGTCTGGCACCAGGCCACCTTGAATACATGTTGATGAGGTATTTATAAGCCCTTCACCTTCCCAGCTCAAAGCCCACACACAAGCCACATGACCATCACCTACACATCTGCAAAACACACAGCATTGTGTATAGCACTTTTTTTGTTCAGTAGCCAGTGGCAGTGCACTGTGAGCAGACAGAGATACAGGGACACAGGGAAACAGAGGCAACTCCCCTCACTCAACTGATAACCTTCTGTGCATTCCTGGGGGCAGGATTGAAATAAAATGCACCATGCATTGATCCTCGTCCTAGGAAAGGAACGATAGGATTGCCCTCAGGTTTGAGCAAGGGTGGCCAGAGGATCTCAGAAGAGCTGTTTCAGCACAACCAATAGAAATGTTGGCCACCGTAACCACAAGAGATGTCCCCTGCCATCTCGGTAGGCACTTGGGCTCCTGACAAAAGCTGGGCTCAGTAAAGGGTTGAGTAGAAGGCACAGACCTGAGGGATGCCCCAGAAAGAGACAGGAGGTAGGGCCTCATTTATACTGCTCTGGGTGTCTCCCAGCCTCATCTGAATATGAAATCAGAAATTTGAAAAACAGCTGGGATGGATCACCTACTCCAGACTCCTCTCCTTACAGTTAAAAGGGTGGCAGCCCTGACAGGCAAAGCAACATGCTAAAGGCAGAGCATGGAAGTGGCAGTGCCAGATAAAATGCACTGTGCCAACCCCGTTCAAGGACACTGACACTGAGAAGTGGGCC